CAACAATGTGTAATATTATAAAGTCTCTGAACATATATTTAAAGCTAGAAATGCTAATAACGATTCTTCTTTCGATTGATACTTTGATCAAAGAATGTCAATGTTACATTTTCAGATGGGAGCATTCCGAAGATTGGTACGTGCCAATGTATACTCAATGTCAGAAGATTAACACAGCAGAGCGAACGATTGAAGTAACTCTTAAACATGAGAACTACGAGTATATGATGCATCATGTGATCGATGGAAGGACTCTAGTACCGGCCACAGGTTACCTGATTATGGTTTGGGAGACGATTAGTTTCTTACAAGGCAGACTTTACGATGAAGTATCAGTGGTTTTTGAGAATGTGAAATTTGAACGTGCAACAACCGTGCCCGCATCTAGTTCCGTTTTATTGACTGTCATGATTCACAGAGGTCTGTATCATTGTAGTCTCGTTTCAGTAAACTAAAACATTGCAAATTGTATTGTAAATTCATTCAAACTTTTTATTTACACTTCTGTAGATTTATTTAATATATTACAGTTAATTTGATACTTTTTTAGCATCTGGAAAATTCGAAATATCAGAGGGATCCACGACAGTAGTAACAGGATCAATTCGCGAACAAACGAATTCAGATCAGGAGATGATTCCAGCTAAGTTTTTGACTGAGATCGAAGACGAGGAAGTTCTGACCAGCAAGGATATTTATAAAGAGTTAAAACTCCGTGGTTACCAATACACGGGACTATTCCGTGCGCTGAAGAGCGCATCGCACAAGGGAACGAAAGGACGTATTGCTTGGATGAAAAATTGGGCCGCATTTATGGACAACATGTTGCAGATGAAGATATTGAATCTCGATACTAGAGCGCTATATGTACCAACAGCGATTCGGAAGCTAACAATTGATGTGAAGGCTCATAATAACGTAATTCGATACCTCACGGAAGATGATAATGGTAATTTTAAAATCTATCAATGTCCTTAAAAATATAAAATTGCATAAATATCGTAGCCGTAATGAGATATTGTAATAAAACATTGTTTCGTAGAAATTCCAGTCTCGGTGTACAACGATTATGACGCTGTAGTATCTGGCGGAATCGAAATCCGCGGAATAAGAGCCAGCGCGATTCAATCACGAAAATTAACGTCTGTCCCTATCTTGGAAGAATACAAATTCGTAGCTCATCGTGACAAAGCGCAAACATCGTTAGAAGAAATGATCATCTTGTCCACGCAACTTGCATTGGAGAGTCACATTATAACCAGCCCCAAGATTCTCGAAGTGATCGATAAGGAAAGCAAAGTACCAATTGACGAAACTCTTACTCCGCTTTTTATGAAGGTATTGAGCGATTTACCCATGATTCGAGCAAATTTGGTTCTTGCCGCAGAATCAGAACAAAGCGAAAAATTATCACTTTCTGAGACTGTTACAATAATAGAACCACAAAAATTGCCAGAGGACGGCAGTATTTTTATGGCAGCTGCTCACAATATTTTATCTAACAAGAGAGCTGACATTTTGGAACAACTTCTAGTTGCAACAGTGGATCACGGATTTATCCTCCTTCGAGAAAGTGTTGTCAATAGGGATACTTTCTCTTATCTTCAAACTTGTGATCTGAATGTTGTACTAGAAAAGTCTTTTAAAGAGCAGACTCTGTTGCTTCTAAAGAAAGCAGAAAAACCACCTCAGAAGACAGAAGTAGTGTACGTGAACAACAATGAATTCAGTTGGTTAGAGAATATAAAGAAAATCTTAAACAATGAGAAAGATAAAAATAATAGTGAAACAATAAGATTGATACTAGTCGCAGAAGGAGATATAGAGAATGGTGTTCTAGGTTTAGTCAAGTGTTTAAGAAGAGAGCCCAACGGTGAAATTGTAAAAACTGTGATAATTCAAGACAAAAATGCTCCCAAGTTTTCATTGGAAGATCCATTTTATTCGAAGCAGCTTGATATAGACATTGGCTATAATGTCTTGAGACCAGGAAATATCTGGGGAACTTATAGACACGTTCCTTATCCAGAATTAAAACCAGTTTTGATTCCTCATGCCTACGCTAATTTAAAGGTATCTTAATACCTATCGTTAGTTTAAAAAAAATTTAGTACAAATTTTCCACGATTTACAAAAGCTGTGCTACAGGTAAAAGGAGATTTAAGTTCCATTCAATGGCTGGAAGGTTGGATCCAACCAAATGAGAAAGACCATAGCATCGTCAAAGTGGTGTACTCTTCATTGAACTTCAGAGACGTAATGTTGGCTACTGGAAAATTGATGGCAGAAACGATAGCGAAGAAAAGAGAAATGAGCGACTGTCTGATTGGTTTTGAGTTCAGTGGAATCGATTCTAAAGGAAGACGCGTAATGGGATTTGTCGAGGCTAAGTAAGATATGTCTCAAGTAATAGTCAGTAATAGGTCTTCTGTTAATTTCATAGATTACTTACATCTTTAGGGGTATATCAAACATGGTCATTCCAAATAAATATTGTTTATGGCCAGTGCCAGACGAATGGTCTCTGGAAGATGCAGCAACCGTTCCATCTGCCTATTTTACTGTCTTTTATGCCTTCTACTATTTTGGGAAATTAAGAAAGGGCGAAAAGGTGTTGATCCATAGTGGAAGTGGTGCAGTAGGCCAAGCTGCCATTAACGTGGCTCTCTCTGAAGGCTGTGAAGTGTTTACGACAGTAGGCACGCCTGAAAAACGTAAATATATCAGAGAAACATTCCCCAGTATAGACGATGATCACATTGGGAATTCTCGAGATACCAGCTTCGAGCAAATGGTAATGAAACAGACACGTGGAAAAGGTGTAGATATAGTTTTAAATTCTCTAGCTGAAGACAAGCTCCAAGCATCGATTCGTTGCCTGGGTTATCGCGGACGTTTCTTGGAAATCGGTAAATTCGATATGTCTGTTAATAATCAAATTGGAATGGAAGTGTTTTTGAAAGAAATTAGCTTTCATGGAATCATGCTCGATGCTATAATTCATAACACCTCAGCTCACATAACTGAAGAAATATATCACTTCCTTAATGCTCAAATGAACAGAAAATGTATCAAGCCTTTGGTCAGGAAATGCTTTGAGAGGAACCAGTTGGAGGAAGCTTTTAGGTACATGGCGGCAGGGAAGCACATTGGAAAGGTAAAAACATTATTTGCCTCCATGATTGATATCTCATAAATAAATGTTACTCAACTGTTTACAGATTCTGATTAAAATAACAGATGAAAATACGCCTTTGAATACACCAATTCTTGCTTATCCTCACTTCAATGCTATAAGTAACAAGAGCTATGTAATCATTGGTGGTCTTGGAGGATTAGGTTTAGAACTTGCAGACTGGTTAGTCCTACGTGGTGCTAGAAACTTAGTAATGGTCTCTCGAAATGGAATGAAGACAGGCTATCAAAAACTAAGGACAGAGATCTGGAAATCCTATGGAACGAAAATCCTCATAATATCTGGCGTAGACGCGTCTAAAACCGATGATTGTGAGTTTATCCTAAAATCGGCAGAGAAACAGGCAGCTGTCGATGGTATCTTTAATCTAGCAGCTGTATTAAATGACTGTCTGATGGTAAACCAAACTGTGAAATCATTTGAAGAAAGCATGAAACCCAAGGCCATGATCACCAAGAAACTGGACGAACTTTCTAGGAAAATTTGTCCAAAACTTCGACACTTTGTAGTATTTTCTTCTTTATCATGTGGAAGAGGAACTCCTGGACAAACTAATTATGGCATGGGAAATGCAGTATTAGAGAGAATTTGCGAAAGAAGAGTAGAGGAAGGTTTTCCTGGCATGGCCATTCAATGGGGAGCTGTGGGAGATGTTGGTCTTGCTGCAGAAATGCTAGAGAACAAGCAGCAGTTGGTAATCGGTGGAACCTTACCTCAGAAGATATCCTCATGCTTAGAAGAATTGGACAAATTTTTGTGTCAGAATAGACCAATAGTGGCCAGCATGGTGGTTGCAGAAAAACGTTTTAGCGCTAATGAAGTTAGCAATGTTCTGGAAGCAGTAATGAATATTATGAGTATGTTCATACATACTCTTCAATGTTCAAATGTTCATACATTTACAATTCAACTTACATATGATAATATTGTTCTTCTATTACAGGTATAAAGGATATAAAAACTGTGAGTCATAATTGTTCCTTGGCTGAATTGGGTATGGATTCTATGATGGCTGTGGAAATAAAACAGACTTTAGAAAGAGACTTTGAGGTTTTCTTAACTCCACAAGATATTAGAGTTTTGAACATTGCCAAACTTGTAGAAATGTCCGCAAAGGATACAAAGAAACAAACGAAAGAAGTTAAGAAAAGAACAACCAAAACAGAAAAATTAACTGGCATGAGATTGCTCATGAAGACCCTAAATGTTTCTGTACTTAACAACCAGTATTGTATAGAGCTTCCAGTTAAATGTAGTGAAAAGAAAAATGAAGTATTTCTTATACCGGGTATCGAAGGATCTGCCGAAATTTTTAGCGCATTGACATCAAAATTAAAATTACCTGCCACTTGTTTACAATTAAGAATAAATGACAATAATCGATCGGTGGAAGAGATGGCCGAATCTCTTTTACCAGTATGTTTTAATACTTGTAATAAAAAAGTAAGGCAAGTTAATTACAATATAAAAAAAAGTAATTTTTTTTCTCTTTTAGCATGTTTTAGCGAGGAGTAAAAATCGTCGAAATTTCACAATAGTTGGCTACTCATATGGAGTATTGATAGCTATAGAGTTAGCAAGGAGACTAGAATCTCATATTCCAGTCGGTCAACTAATATTAATAGACGGATCTCCCGATTATATGAAAGCTATCAAGTCAGAACACTTCGCATCGCTTACAGAAGATGAATATCAAAATAAATTCCTAATTGAAATTCTGAGTCTCGGTAATCCGTCCTTCGACAAAGAGGTAAATTATCTTTTCAATACCAGTCGACTATATTCAATATATGAAATTCTATATTTGATTCTAAATAATTAATGACTAATTCGTTTCTATAGTGCATATTAAAGCTGAACAAGTGTACTAATTGGAATGAAAAATTAGATGTAGTAGTCAAATACACAGTCGACCTTCAAAAGGTTTACACGCTAAAAGATCAAAAAAGTTATATATCATTTATTTATAACCGTATCTGTGTATTAGACAAATACGATCCTTCTTCCTTGCCACCTCTTAGAACGCCCATCACATTATTGGCACCAACAATTCCAGCTGTCATATGTCCAGACTCAACATATGGTTTGCAGAAGGTAACTGTTAATATTGATTAGTACTAGTAGCAGTAGAATTGGTATGTACAATATAGTATGTATAGTGTAATATGTATAGTGTAATAATAAAGCTATGTTTCTTATTTAGTTAACTCATGGAAATGTGAAAGTACATAAGATCGAAGGAAATCATATTTCCATTTTGGATGATTGGAGAATCGCGGCAGCCATTAATAACGAACCTTTGGAAGACGCGGCAACTTTCAAGGAGAGCTTAAATTTCGAAACCAACGACGTGACATTGTTTAAACAGTCTGAAAATTTTATTTAGTTGGATTTATCATAAAAAAAGAGAAGTAGGGATGATTCATACTTCAGCAGTACCTATCATTCTGTACTTTTATAACAAATAAATGAAGAGCTCAATATTAATGAAATGTTGTCATATTTTTATGCAAAATCATCATACATCCAGAAACAGAATTCATTCATATGACAAACGATCGATATATCACTCACACAACAAAATTGTATCTTGTACAATAGTCTTATTATTACATTGTTACACATAGTGTAGAAATAAAACTATTTTGTTTAACTTTTTTTCTCATTTTCTCGCTGCTCTTACGCATTCCACTATTCTTTTATATTTTTTTTTTTCTTTTATGAATATTGCATACTTATATTATAATTTTAATCGCAATCAAACAAAACATATTGCATATAAAAGAATAGATAATAACGTAAGGTATTAATCGATTGTTATTCAAACATTCATACAATTATGCTGTACCAATAATAACTACAAGACTGAGTTTCACATTAAATCCATGAAAGTATTTATTGTAAACTCCTTTTTTTTCTATTTTCTCGTTTCATCAAGTTTCACAGACAAATCAAATTTAATGTACAAAAGGAACTTGGCATTTTCACATTTGTCTTCCTATTACAATTGGTAAGTATATCTCAAATAACTACATAATTACCTAACTTTCATTTAAGAACTTTATACTCGTTTATTTTAGACAAACGTGTAGTATCGGATAAAAAATATAGAGTATAATTTTTTTTCTTTCCAATTTTCATACATAATAAAACACGAAATCGCATTCTTCGTTTGTTAACCATATACGAAAATGTAAAAGTAATTTACTAACGAATTACCTTCATAATTCCATTGGCTCAAAAATTGATGAACTACTTGATATCGTTTGATTCAAATCAGTAATAGCTGCATTATTATTATTATCACTATTGTTATTGTTGTCACTGCTGTTATTATTGTTGTCAGTCGCATTAGGAATTGGTGTTGGTGTATCCCTCGTTGGTAACATACGAAGATGTTTGCTTGGTGGTTCCCAAAGGACTAAAGCCATGGAGGGCTTCTCCCTGAAAGGGAAAAACTGTAAAGCTTTATCATCTCTATTAATAAAAAAAGTAATATGATAAAACAAATATGGAATAGAAAGTTTGATTTGATTCAGTTTAATTTAGTTGGTTTAATTTGATCTAATAATCTAAAATGGAGTTCATATTAAAAACTAAAAACACTTACAGTTTGGATAACAAGGAATTTGGAAGAATAGGTTCCTGTTGGATCCTTTTTAGTTCTTCTGACAGAATTAATCTGGGTCCAGTTTTGATTTGATCTGCATCTATTACATTAGTTGCATCCATTTCCAATTCCATATTTAACTCCCTAGGAGTAACTGGTTGCGAATTGGCTGTTGAAGTCGATGGTACTGAGGATTGTTGTTGATAATTGGGACTAATATGTAAGCCTTTAAAATGTGCAGCCATCTTTTCTTCTGTTATAAACTGCTTTGTTTGCCTCCTGTAATATTATATCACTCAATAAATATAGAGAAAAATAAAAAAAGGTCCTTTTGCAACATTTTATTATTTCAACTACTTACATATCTAGCAGATCGCAGGCCTCAAGTTTTCTTTTTTGATGAAGAACTGGTTCAAAACTTGGTCCTCCAGTAAATCTGACTAATTCTGGTTGTTGGAAAGATGGGACACTCCATGGTATAGACATTGGAGGCACTTGTGGCATTTGCATCCAAGTCCCTGGTTGTGTGGTATTTTGTTGGCCCATCATATGTTGAAATATGGATGGAGGTGTATGGAGATTTGCTCCTCCCATTGCATTCTGAACCGGAGTAGGAGAATAAATTTGATACTGCATAGATAATGCTGCCATATTTTTAAATATTGACAATAATCAATAAACAATCTCAAATACAATTTATTCTTAAAGATTTATAACGATTTATTACAAATCTCTGAATTCAGTTTTATCGTTTGTAAAAATGACAATATTCGTAATGAATAGTAATATTTGGAATATTTTCAAATGTAAATATAAACAAAATCAAAACAATATTCTGAATAAAAGTGATACGTTCCGTCAGCAGGATATTTTACTTTGATTTTTTATTAAATCAACATGCAAAATAGTAAATTGCCTACTGTCATTTGGAACCAGAGAACTCGAGAGAACGTGCTTGAGTCTTCGAGCGTACGTCGTAACGGGCAATGCTTTCGAAGAATTTCACAAAAGCATCGATTGTGTAACATATACGTTTTTGGCACAAGTCTCGTGAAAAAAGAGTGTATGACAAAAACGTTTCAAAACACTTCGTCACACAATACAAATCCTTGAACTGTTTGCTAGACGCTAACCTCTATCGCCCATTCGTCGTGGCTTAATTGGGTAATATATCGCGTTTATTGTATAACGATATGTAAATGCGTGTTAAACCAGGAATAGTAGAAGTCTTATTCCCCAACGATATATTTATTTATAATACACGTTCTGTAATGCGTGTTACACTGTTCGAGAAAGATCACGAACAGCTAATTGTTTGTTTTCGTCTCGGAGCGTCACGATTTCATTACAATAAATCAGATGATCATACGTATAGCTGATTTCAACGAATAGTCTGACTGACAAATATTCAGCGTGACTGTATCTTCATTGGTGCAAATACACGCAATGTTATTGAGAGTCGCAAATCACAAGTTTAACTTTACTGTGAAACAACAACTCGTTGCTGTGCTCGACCGTACGCTCGGATCCTGATTGCAAGTTCTTAGCCTTTAAACTACGAACTTCGACTGTGTTAAAATGTTTGCGCATGCGCAATTGCTCTTATCGCGGCGGAAAACGTTTCTACAAATATCTCAAATATTCAGACGAAACAAAATTCATATAAAATCTAAAATATAACAACTTGCTAAAGTATTTAAACATTAAACGTAAAACATTTCTGTGTATATTATACAGGATGTTCCGTAATTAATTAATGCTACAACCGAGTAGCAGATGATTTTACACGAAAAAATAAGTCAGAAAGAAACAATAAAAATTTTTTCATTAAAGCCTTCGTTTTTCGAGAAAATCGAGTTTGAGAATTTAGCAAGTACACTCGAATTTAATTTTTAGACGTGACAAAAAAGAATAATTAACAGAAAGTTATTCTACGTACAAAAGTAAGTAAAAAACATAAAATATGGTTTTTGTACAAGGTATTTCATTTTCGATAATTTATCGTTTTGATAAATTTTCAAATTTATTTTCTCGAAAATAGAGGCTTCAATTTTGTTTTTTTAATTTTCTCCTAGAAGAAAAATTTTGTTCTTCCTTTTCAATTCGTTTTTTCACGTTTTTTCCTACTCGGTTCTGCTATTAGTTACGAAACGCTCTGTATACACAATCTACTGTATGAACAATACGTTTCGTAAACTTTTGACGAAATCTTCAAATAAAATTTTTGGTTTGCACATAATGTATTTTTATAATATTATAAATATCATTTGGCATAAAGTACACAAGTACACGTGCGAATCTGACACGTGTGAAGTACGCAATAATATTCATCACTAGCGCCTTGAGACATGCAACCATGTTTTCAAGAGCGCA